ATCAAAATTAAACAAAATAAACATCTGAAATATATGAGTTTGTATGTAATGTATGAATATAATATACAAGTTTCACTTTTTAAATGGAATTACTGAAATCAATCTACTTTTTCATGATATTCTAATTTTATGACCAGCACCTGTATATTTGAGTATATTATTTTTCAAAGTGTCAGAAATGGATAACAAAACTGCTATTTTCAATGACTACTTATTTTTGTCCAGCTTTAACATCGGTATTGATATCAGTTATCGGCTACATGAGTTTTAAAATATCGGCATATCGGATATCGGCCAAAATCCCAATATCGTGCATCCCTATTTGAAACATTAGCGCATTGGTTTATGTTAAAATAAACCTTTGGGTAAAGTTGTCGCAAGCAGGTTTTTCTTGTGTTTCTTGTGAATTTGGTCTTAAATTTTTATTTCAAGTGGCATTAAAAAGTCTTATAAAGTCTTGAATATAACTTGCCTCATGCTGTAGGAACCCTGTAGTGTTATATTAACTTATTGGCAATGTTACGCAAGTTATAAGTTAAACATCGTATTTAAACTTAGATTTTATGAAAATTTTGGATCTTAAATATTTAAATCATTAAAAAAACTCTCAACCATTTTGAGCCTAAACCATGAAATAATTGCCAACGAACCTTCTGAGAAATAAAAAAAGAAAAACATAAAATATTTGTAAATAAAATGAATAATAAATGAGTTATTTGTAGGATTTGTGATTCATTAGGCGTTGTTGTACAATAAACAAGAAGAGAAATATTACACTGATGCTGTGGAAACTTCAAAAATTAATTAGTTAAACGGCTAAATGTAACTTAATGAAACATTAAACGGTTTATAGCTCGGCCTTTGAAGAAATCTTTAATCGGCTGCGTTGAAAAAGGGACGTAGTTTGGAATAGCAGTGGGACACAGCTGTCCTGGGCTGATAGAAAACAGCAAAACATGTCAATTCTTCAGTCTCTGGAGGTTTAATGGACTATTTCCTCTTCTTTTTTTCATTATTCAGACTTTTAAATCCAAATTTGAGAAAAAAATCATTCTGCCCCAAAGCCAATAAAATAAATTCAGATGATATTTATTTTCAGTAACAGTTTGTTTTTTTTTTTTTTGGAGGATCACTACTCCTAAGCTTTGTGATCAAGGCTCACTCCTCTGCATGTTTTTGATGTATCCTGCTCCAGCACACCAGATTCAGTGATGACTTTCCCTCTCTATATACAATCTGTTTCTTTGGAAACCTGTTTTTCACCCGTTCCTGTAGATCAGTTGAAGTGAGGCAAACAGGAGTGGTAAATCCTGATAACCAGGGTTGGAACCACTGCTTTACTGGACCACAGTTCTTTGTGAGATCCAGTTATTCCTGTGCTACAGCAGCCTCAGCCTGTCAACGGTTTTTGTTGCATCAGACTAGAAAAACCAGTGGCTGTGTTTTGTTGATCATCATGTGCAGTTAATGGAGAGGAACACTAGAAACGGAAGAGATAAGAGGTGGTAGTGCAAGAATATTAGCAAAGCATTGACAAACATTTCTAAATGGTATTCCAAAAAAAAGTTAAAAAACAATCCACTGGACTTTATTTCTAAGTTTGAAGACGTTTCTCTTCCCATCCAGGAAGCTTTTTCAATTCAAATGTCAGAAATAGCGTTGAGTTGCTTTATACAGCTGCCCAACAAAGCCTTGTTTTTGCTTAGACAACATGCAAATATAAACGGACAAACGGGTCCATCCATTTGGAATGGGGGTCGTCTGGCTGCTTTTGTTAGCCTATAATGCCCCACACCTGTCTATGCTTCTGAAAGGGGGGTCGTTAAAGGGAATTGTTGGCCTGGCTGAACAGGCGGGGTCTTCTGTTCCCCTGTAAAGGGGTTGAGGGTTGCGATGATAGCAGGGATTAACTCAATTGCTGTATTGTAGGTTTTTGAAAGCTAAAATCTAAGTCTACCCCCTCTGTTTAAGGTTGTTTTTTCTTTCTTAACATGGATGGCTTCCTTCCCTCTCAAACCACCTATTTTCTTTGTCCAAAATGTGAACATTGTGGTCCTCAAAAGAATGTTCACATGTTTAAAATGGTATCAACATTGTGATCCATGAAAAAAACATTGTGATCCAAAAAATCTGGTATTTTTGCAGAATGTATTCACTTCAGTTTATGTTGAACTTTGTAAAATGTGACTTAAAATCCAGATGCAAAATGTTTGGATGAGGATGGATTTCTGCTAAATTGACTTTATTCTGTCAAAATATACAATTTGTTTCTGTAGAATAAAACATTTCTACCATTTAAAAGCTCCTTATTTTATGCATTTACTATCTTCCTTCCTGCTTAAGTAGTGTTTCAAATGAAGCATCATAATCAAGTCCTGGAAATAAATAACCATCCTTAACTATTTGAATTAATTTGATTACTTTTTCACAAAATAATTGTGTTTTAAGCATTAGATATAACTTTGGGTACTGTGGTGCATTACTTACTGCTAGATGGCGCCAACGTGTTTTTAATACATTTCTTATGTCTAGAGTCGTCCATAATGATAGAAGAGGAGATAAAGATATGAATTATAACCAATGTATCTGTAAAATAAAATTAAACAAAAAAACTATCCTCAGGAGAATTAAACCAAAACCTCTACAATAAACCCAGATCGATGATAATCTGGCTATGTTTACTTTGTTATCTTTAAACCATGTTTTTGTAATCGTGACAAAAAAATCAGCAGCCGCAGACTCACTGATAATAAGATTAGCGCTGCAACTAAGGATTGTTTTGCAGATTGATTAATCTGTCGATAAGTTTTTCGATTAATCGGTTAATAATCAGATAGCCAATGATTCCTTACAGAAGACTTTATAAAATTAAACCAGGTGAAACTTAAATATTTCCCCTTAAGGAGTTCTGTATAGAGCTTATTGACAGATTAATTTTTTTAAAATCTTAAATCTGAACTGTTTAACTAGAACAGTCGAAGGCTGTTCTAGTTCGACTGTTCTAGTTAAACAGTTCAACTAAAACATATTTTCTTTAGTCCAACTGTTCTTAGGAAAAAATTCTTTTTTGTTTCTGCATTTTTTACTTTATTTTTTTTTTTCCTACTTGCTTTGATTCTGTTTTATCTTCCTGTATTTTAATAATGTAAAGCACTTTGCATTGTCTTTGTACTGAATTGTGCTATACAAATAAATTTGCCTTGCCTTGCCTTAAATGCAAAAGGTTGAGATATATATATATATATATATATGTATATATGTACAATTTTTTTTTTTTTTTTACACTTTTGGTATAATTACTGCTCTAAGTGGGTCGCTCTGCCAGCTAAAGGCATGTTTTAGAGTCTCTATACTCCAGTTAAAAAAAAAACCAATCCACTGGACTTTGTTTCCAAGTTTGAAAACTAGGGATGCACGATATTGGGATTTTGGCCGATATCCGATATGCCGATATTTTAAAACTCCTGTAGCCGATAACCGATATCGATAACGATGTCAAAGCTGGACAAAAATAAGTAGTCATTGAAAATAGCAGTTTTGTTATCCATTTCTGACACTTTGAAAAATAATATACTCAAATATATTTTCATATGCTGATATCAAATTGATTTTTAAAACGCGGTATCGATCTATTTTACTTTCAAAATCTCGTGAAATTTCATCGTTCTGTTACAAACTCTTGTGATATTTTGCAAATTCTTGTGAGATTTTGTTAGTAAAATAGATCGATACCGCGTCAATATATCAACATATAAAACTATGGCAACATTTCGTGAATTTTCGGGGGATTTCGTAGCATAACGATGACATATAGCAATATTTCATTAGTAAAAGAGATTGATATGGTGTTTTTAAATGGCAATATATCAGCATATGAAGATATTGTGATATTTTAATGTATCAATATTTTTCCCCTCTTCTTTAGAAGTTTTTAAGTCTGTAAAAAAGAAGTTTTTGAGGAAGAAGTAGTAGTATTATTATTTTTTTTTTAGACTTTAGAAACTCAGTGGCTGATCAAATATCGGGTTAAATATCGGTGGGGTGGCCGATGTCCGATATTCAGTTTTAAGGCCGATACCGATAGGGGGCCGATTATATCGTGCATCCCTAAAAAAATTGAATGGATTACTAAATTAGTTGACAATTATTTCAATAATCGATTAATCACTATTAATCTGAATAAGTGTTTCAGCCCTAAATAAAACGCCAACAAGCGGAACGTAAACAGGGTCTATGAAGAGAAGAGAAGCTAATCTGGTGGAAACTTCGCAATCTGAATTTCTGAAGCAATTTATTTTGCCATCTGAATTTAAAGCTAAAGTGTGTAATGATTACAGGGCTATACAGTCAGAAATGTAATATATTATACATAACTATGTTATTTATCATCATCTACGAGCTCAGCCTCTTAACCTTAATATTTGCGTTGCCTTAGAATTCGTTATTTATAATTACATAGGAGCGGGTCTCACAGACATGGAGGCAGACATCTTTGCGGTACGGCAGCGCAGAGCCAACAAACTAGCGATTGCGAGATCGCCAAAACGTCACAACGATGTAGAAAAAATAACGGGTATATTTATTATCTTAAGTCTACATGAAATCTATACCCAACACAGATTAATGAAATACTATCTGTAAAATTATCTATGTAAACAAACCTCATCACTTGAGAAGGTAGGTGATGCGGACGTCGTGGAAGACATTTTTTCCCGTAACGCTCGCCGTACTGTTGGGGGGGAGAAGCGGTGGGGGGGAGATGTTCATGTTGCTGCAGTCTGCAGTCTGACCGCTAGATGTCGCTAAAAGTTACACACTGTAGCTTTAAGTACAGGAAAAACTGATGCTCTGAAATGAAAAATAAGCCAGTAAAAAGGAATAAACAGGGGTCATAGCTGTGGGTAAAGTTCCAATAATCAATTAATTTTTGTTTTATATATTGTAGGGGTTGTACATGTACCTTTATTTTTCTATGTGGTTTGATTTTGTTCTTTTTCTAGTGCTGCTTGGATCGATAAATGCCGCCCCGATATCCTAATATCAGAGTCGACATACGCAACAACTATCCGTGACTCAAAACGGTGCAGAGAAAGAGACTTCCTGAAGAAAGTTCATGAGAGCATAGAAAGAGGAGGAAAGGTAAAATTTTATTCAACAGTAAAGCAGCATTCTGGTTTAGTTTTATATGAAGATCCTCCTCTGAAATTCTGCCTTTTAATTTCCCAGGTTCTCATTCCAGTTTTCGCCCTGGGCCGTGCGCAGGAGCTCTGCATCCTGCTGGAAACATTTTGGTAACAGTTTGGCTTCAAAGCATCGTCAGCATCAACACATAGTTTATGTCCGAGCTAATAAAGACACTGATGTGTGGAGATACAGTTGTGTTCGAAATAATAGCAGTGCCTCAACAGCAGCAAGAAAATCACTTGTTTTATTAACATTTCAAACTCTATACCCCAGATAAGTTTCTGGGGGGTAAAATAAAGGTATAGAAAACCAACAAACCCAACAGGACAGCCATGCATACTGTGGATTCTGTGAAATTGAATGATTAACTGAAAAGGGTGTGTTCAAAAAAATAGCAGTGGTGAGTTCAATTAGAGAGGGCATCAATTAGGGAGGGTATTCTGGGAAAAAAGGGTGTTAACAGGTGATCCGTATTTAAGGATCAAGACAACTGGCATGCTGGCTGTGCATTTGTCCTGAAAAAACAAGGAAAATGGGTCGTTCAAGACACTGTTCTGAAGATGAGCGTTTCCTAATAAAAAAATTGATTAAAGAAGGGAAAACATACAAAGAGGTGCAGAAAATCATTGGCTGTTCAGCTAAAATGATCTCAAATGCCCTGAAATGGGAGCAAAAAACTGAAAAACGAGGAAGAAAAAGAAAGACAACCCCTCGAATGGACAGAAGAATAGCCAAACTGGCGAAGACTCAGCCAATGATGGGATCCAAGAGGATCAAGCAAGACCTTCAGTTGACAGTGAGTACTGTGACAATCAGAAGACGTCTTACTGAGGTTAACCTTCCAGCAAGAAGCCCCCGCAAAGTCCCACTGCTGAGAAAAAGACATGTGCAGAAGCGTTTACAATTTGCCAAAGAGCACATTGACTGGCCTGAAAAGAAATGGCATAATATCTTGTGGACAGATGAAAGCAAGATTGTTCTTTTTGGGTCTAAGGGTCACAGGCAGTATGTCAGACGCCCTGCAAACACAGAATTCAAGCCACAGTACTCACTGAAGACCATTAAGCATGGTGGTGCAAGCATCATGATATGGGGATGTTTTTCATACTATGGTGTTGGTCCGATTCACCGCATACAAGGGATCATGGATCAGTTCCAGTACATCAGGATCCTGGAAGAGGTCATGCTGCCATATGCTGAGGAGGAAATGCCTTTGAGGTGGACCTTTCAACAGGATAATGACCCCAAACACACCAGCAAGCGAGCAAAAGCTTGGTTCCAGATGAACAAGATTCAACTGATGGAGTGGCCAGCACAATCCCCGGACCTTAATCCCATTGAAAACTTGTGGGCTGACATAAAAAGTGCAGTGCATGAGGCAAAACCAAGAAACGCTGAGGAATTGTGGAATACAGTGCAATTATCCTGGGCTGCAATACCTGTGGAACGATGCCAGAAGTTGGTTGACTCCATGCACCACAGATGTGAAGCAGTCATCAGAAACCGTGGTTTTGCAACAAAATATTAGTTTAGGATACTCAGCTAGGTTCACTTATCAAGAATTTCTTTGTTTGTACAGTACATTTTTGAGTTTCCAAGGAAAGATGGCAACACTGCTATTCTTTTGAACATGCCATTTCTTACTTTATTTGAAATATTATTATTATTATTTAAGTTTTGATGACTTTGCGCAATTGTTTTGCTTTGGAATAGAATGTACTGTGTCCCCAATGTATCTGTGTTCATTAAAGTACAATTTCTTTGAAGAATTTTGACATTTACTCATTTTTCTAAAGGCACTGCTATTATTTCGAACACAACTGTAATTACAGCTTGTGGATGAAAAGCTGTTAATTTTTCTTTTTATTTCTGTGAACTTTGTTGAAATTCCAGGTAAAATAAATGAAAACCTCTTAGCGTGAAGCATTTGCACATGACTGCAATACAAAGAAGCAAATGCTCGTTATGTGGGAGGCATTTCTTTTATCAGCACTGAAAGAATAAACGTAGTCTTTGACTGATTGGGCTGCCTTTAATTATCTTAGGGAGAGAATGAATCTAAAGGCTCCCATCTACTTCTCCACTGGGCTGACAGAGAAAGCCAACCATTACTACAAGCTTTTCATTACATGGACCAATCAGAAGATCCGGAAAACCTTTGTGCAGAGAAACATGTTTGAATTTAAGCACATCAAGGCCTTCGATCGCTCCTATGCAGATAATCCTGGACCAATGGTGAGCCTGTTCTTCCTCCTAAATGTTTGTGTTTTTGTTTTTAAGTTGAACTGGCTTGCTTTTAAAATCTATTTATTCTCTTAGGTGGTGTTCGCCACACCGGGTATGCTACATGCTGGCCAGTCTTTGCAAATATTCAAGAAATGGGCTGGCAATGAGAAGAACATGGTGAGTCCCTTACGTATTTTTTTTTTTTTTACGTCACTCAACAAAGTAAAACATTGAATAGGATCCATAAAATAAGTGTAAGCATGTCAAACATCGGAAAAGAGCCTACATCCCCAATAAAATCCTGATTTATAAAACCATGAGCACTACCAAAACTAAGCAATATTCCTGTATAGATCCCATACTAAAAGAAATAGGTAAATATTTGTTAGATTATGTATTTACCCATAATTTGGTTTGATACACTGGAAAAAATCTAAATCCAAATAAGTAATTTTTTCTTAAAATAAGTGCATTTGTTCTTGGATTGAGGAGGTAAAAGATGCATTTTGCCAATGGAAAAGAAAATTTACATTTAGGATAAGAAAACACAACTACATTGTTTTAATTCAAGTGCATTTTATCTAATTATCTTATTTTAAGAGTAAAAATACTCATTCCATTGGCAAACTATCTCATTTATCTACTCAAATTAAGGGTAAATACACTTATTTTAAGACATTTTTACTTATTTCTAGATCATTTTTCCAGTGTAAATAAGATGATTTGCCAATGAAATGAAAAGTTTTAGTCTTAAAATAAGACCATATGCACTTGAAATAAAAAAAGGCAATTATTTTAAACAGACTTATTTAGATTTACATTTCTGCAATGTAGCTGCACCTCAAAGTTTGCACCCAAGGCTCCACCTCACATTCAGCCTTCCACACATCTCGGTCAACCATACATGATGCATGCATCGTCATTGGGTATTTAAACGAGCGAGCTGATCACTATAATTTAATGGTTACTGATGTCAACTGCAGGGAAGGGAGCAAAAAAGAGTTTAATCAAGGCAGAAACAGATGTCCTGGTGACTGGTTTGGAGAGTCTGTTTGTTTATTATTTACACCTTCAGAGTCTGATGTTTGGACTGAATATATTAACAAAGACATCCAGGCATCTTTAAGGTTGTAAAATTATTTTGTTTCTTATAGTGTCTTAATGAAGTTAGGTAATTAATTAAGGTTATTGCTGATATTAATATATCAGATTTCTGGCAATACAGCAACATCCATCCATCCCTCCATTATCTGACACACTTGTCCCAATTGGGGTCGCGAGGGGTGCTGTTGCAGCAGTCTCCAGCTGTCTACGGGCGAGAGGCGGGGTACACCCTGGACACCAGTCCATCGCAGGGCAACACAAACAGGGCAAACAACAATTCACACACACACTTACACCTAAGGAGGATTTAGAGAAGCCAATTAACCTAACAGTCATGTTTTTGGACTGGGTGAGGAAGCCGGAGTACCCAGAGAGAACCCATGCATGCTCGGGGAGAACATGCAAACTCCATGCAGAAAGACCCGGGGCCGGGAATCGAACCCAGAACCCTCTTGCTGCAAGGCAGCAGTGCTAACCACTGCGCAATACAGTAAAATTTTAATTTAAAAGGCTGCAAATCTAGGAAAGTAAAATACCTATCTATATATTTTTATATATTGCCTTCAAGATGGGATTCTGCCAGTGATTTCTCGTTTTTAAACAAGTGGAGAAAACAAGCGCCTCAGAAAGCTCTCTCATATTTCCTCCTTCACTGGATCTTGGTGGCAAATGATAAATACCTTTTAGTGCAGTTTATCAATAAGCAGCTAAACTAGCATTCAGCATATTCCCAAAAAAACTAGCCTCGTGAGACCATCCTGATCTCGCGAGTTTTCAAGGTTTCACTCGCTAATCAGTCTGGAGACTCTCCGTTAAAGACAATTTGGAGCCGTTCACCAAACGAACGTCCAATCAGCGTTGGCTTTGAGGCGGGTTGAGGTGTGACGCAACGAGAAGCGCGACAGTTCAGTCTAAAGAACATGGCGGCTTCAGCCGATGAAACTAGCGTTAGCGTGGCTATCGAGCAAGTTTTATCAGAATTACAGAGTATTTCTTCACTGAAAGAAGAGCAAAACACTGCTCTGGAGGCTTTTCTCAGAGGAAAAGATGTTTTTGCTCTTCTCCCGACTGGTTTTGGCAAGAGTAGCCTGGCTTGTGGTTGTGTTTTCCTCGTCGCTCTGTTAGTATGTCATATGCTTCATTGATCTGATTGGTTTATTTGGCCCGTCTATCACCAACATAGGCCAATCAGCTAACCAGTATTTTCGCCCCTTCCCAAAATTACTTCAACGGAAGGTTTCCAGATGGATATGCGGAGCAAATCCATCTGGTGGAGTCAGGTTACAAAAAAACTGGATTTTATAAAAAAAAAATTACAACAGATTTTTGGCATCGTTTGGGGGCGACAGATTCTCCATCCATTAAAAAACACGATCTCTTTTTGGGAAACATGAAAACGTCTAATTTATTTGTTAAATGTATGGCTATGAATGTACATATCCTCTTTAGCTAACGCTGCATAATAATAATTAAAGAAAAAAACACTCTGCTTACAGGTAATCATGCCTGGGTATTGTGTGCAAGGAACTATTGGTCATAAGATCCTAAATGGGCAAAGAAAACTGGAGATGGAAGGAAGAGCGACGGTAAGATTTTCCTTTTTTTCTTCCAACCAGCTTTACACGTTGGACAAACGTCATTAGATCCCTCATTCCTCTAATGACTCTTATGCAAATTTAAAGACGGAGGCAGAAATATTTAAAACTGCTTTTAGAAGGATGAAGCTGAAATATTTGATCAGGTTTGTAATGTCTGTTAGTAAATCATCAGGAAATACTTCTTATGCTTAAGTGGAACATTAGATCATTTTCCTGAGCAGAAAAGTCATAAAAACATGTTGCTTTTAAGAAGCAGGAGTTTTTTTTAATCATAATACTGAAAACATTTGTCTTATTATTATTAACCAGTGTTTGGAACTGTGTTTTCAAACTGTTTTCTTGTGCATTTCTCGTTTATAAGTCACTTAAAAATTGAACTGATTGTTTTTTTTTTCATTGCAGTTGGACGTGAAGATGCAGGTGGAGTACATGTCCTTCAGTGCACACGCTGACGCAAAGGGCATCATGCAGCTCATCCGTATGGCGGAGCCTCGAAACATGCTGCTCGTGCACGGCGAGGCTGCTAAAATGGAGTTTCTAAAGGGCAAGATCGAACAGGAGTTCAGTAAGTGCCGCTGAAGGGATTTATTTTGTCCTAAGATATGCATTTCTCCGCCGCCGTTTGGAGGCAGAGGTGATTTCCAGTCTGGTTAATGTTACCATCTTTTAAACGGCAGGTATAGACTGTTACATGCCAGCCAACGGGGAGACGACGTCTGTGATAACTAACCCCAGCGTTCCTGTGGATATGTCACTCAACCTACTCAAGAGGGAGATGGCTCTCGGAGGTGAGGTTTATCTGGTGGTTTTGGTTCAGCCTGTGTTTCACCCAGTTTCACTTTGATTGATAACGGGCTTTTGGCTCACGCTACTCTTCTTCCTGCCCTCATACAGTAAATCGACCCAGATCCGCTGGCATGATAACATCGACTAAGAAAATCCTAGACAGCTCATTTCACGAATGGAATAGATTATTATGATTAAGGTCATTTGGATTTACTGATATTGTAAACATGATGCAAATGTAAAAATGCAAAAGTATATGAGATTTAGTTTTAGATCTACTGATTTTTGCTCGTAATGAAAGAAGGCCTTTGATGCAGAATTGGATAACCCAGGTTCAGAAAGTAAAAAAAGCTGCAGAGAGATCACTTCCAACCATCTGCATTTCCAGCTCCACACACTGACTGATCACCAGAGGAGCTAATCACCTGGTTAAATGAGAAGGATGAAGGAAAACATGGCAGGGTTTTTACTTTCTGGACCTGGATTATCCACCTCTGCTGTTTTGTCTTGGATAATATCTCTGCTGAAATAATTACAGCCTGTTTTCTGAAACAGCCCACCAGATTTAGATTAGAAATGTAGTGTTTCAAAACATGAAAGCAACATGCTTTACAAGTTTCTCCAGAGCCCTTGGACGGGAAATGTCCCTCAGCATCATAAATCCCTCACTTTGCAACACATTTCATCTCAAGGCAAAAAAACAACAACCAGATCATCCAGTCAGATCTGTTAAAAGTTTTCTATCTAAGGAAAACCAGCTGATTGCATCCAGTCATTAAATTGCAGGACACGCTACCCCTAGTATTCACTTGCATAACATAAAACTCTGCAGTTTTGGTACAGTTATTTTTTTTTTCTGAGTATTTTTTCTTTTTTTCTTACCTCCTTGGCAATTTTTACTCATTTAAGTTTTTTTTATGCTTGGTTTCTATATTTGTAGTTCCAGTGTTTAGCTACTATTAAAATGTATGTCATTTAAGATTTTTCAGTTTTTATCACCGTCTCATCCGTATTTAAAGTAATTAGAAGCCATTCCTTTTATGTAAATGATTAGTTCATATGTAATGAAAGCCATTGACTGCCTCCTGAAGGTAGCTGCGCCTTAGAGTCCTTTTTATCATGGAAGCAATTGCTAAGTTTAACTACTATTAAAACCTGCTACTTATAAAGAGAAAGAAAACCAGGCTCAAAGTCTAACTGGACTTATTCCAAGTCAGATCAGAGAAATTGCAACAGATCGCTCAGCTGTGAGTTCTGGTGAGCCCAGCGTCCTCCTGATACCTCATGATTCTCTGTTGCATCAGGCGGATGCTTCATTATTCTACGCCTCAGGGTTAGAGACCCGTGTTCTCTTCATCAGCCTTAAGATGCTCCCATTTTATTCCCAAACCTTTGCTGCTTATGTAATGAAGAGGATCACATTCTACCCTGAAAGAAGAGCAAGAGAGAGAAAAGATTAGCCTCTATATTTCGTAATGTTCCACCATGGGGGGGAAACATCTAACATACTTAAGAATATTAGAGTTCAGCAAGTGTCTACATGTTTGACAAAGCATACTCCTAATAGATGAATAAAAGAAAGAAAAAAGGGACATCTAATATATATTTTTTTAACGAGTTTGTAAAAATGTTTTTTTTTTATTTCTGTTTGTTAAAGGTCCTCTGCCTGATCCCAAAAAACCCCGCGCCATGCATGGAACGCTGATCATGAAAGAAAATGTAAGTTTTCAAAGTTTAGAAACAAACAGTTTTATCAGGAATGCCTTAATAAGAATACAAATAAAAGGATTTAAAAAAGGGATAAAAATAAAACAAGTTTATAAATAAAAAGTAAATAAACCCTGTGCCCGTTACAAATAGAAATTTCTTTTGCTCCTAGGTGTTTGTTTCCTAGGTGTCTACTATCCTTTTTATTTGTCCACCACACCAGTGACAGTGATGAATTACGGAAGAGGATTAGGGCCACTGGAAAAAAAAAATTTCACTGACTTTTAAATTTTATTTCAGTTTAGTATGGGAAAAAAAGTCAGAATTCTGACTTTAATCTCAGAATTCAGACTTTTTTTCTCAGAATTCTGAATTTTTTCTCAGAATTCTGACAGATAACAAACATGTTAGCATCAAGCGATAGCCATGTCTGTTTTAGAGACTAGCTCTTATTTTAATGACCTTCTGCTCCTCCATTAATGAGGGGACCCCTCGGACACGTAAAAAGTTGCCTAATTCCGTCATTTTCCACCAATGTGTCACTGGTCCTCCCAAACAACTCACATCTTTGTCAGTGAAGCTGAGTGCTCCCACATCTCTTCCTTCATGGTGCCCATCTACATTAAAATCCAAAATTCTGAGATTAAAGTCAGAATTATGACTTTTTCCCCAAACTAAACTGAAATAAAATGAAAAAATCAGTTAACTTTTAAATTTTTTTTTTTTCAGTGGCCCTAATCCTCTTCCGTAGATGGATGCTTAAATAGCAAATGAAGCCTCTAGTTCTGAGTGACAAAGAAAAGAGAATAAAGATAAGATCCTGGTTTATCATTTTAAGACAGAGAAAATGTAATCTGGCATTGAATTTGTTAAATTAATTTATAGGAGCTTTTTTTGTATAAAATATATTGCATTTGTAAAATTAAAACTCGTGTTTGAAGATTGATGTTAATCCATCCATCCATCTTCTTCCGCTTATTCGGGGTCGGGTCGCGGAGGTAGCAGCTTCAGTAGATTTATTTTAATGTGTAGGTAAAAGAAGAAAAACATTTTTTTTATATATATATATATATATATATATATATATATATATATATATATATATATATATATTAAAAAAAATGTTTTTCTTCTTTTAAATTAAGTGTATTAGCAGTAAACCTCATAATGAGAATTTTGTTTTAACCCTGTTTCCGTTTACAAAGTAGTGTAGCTCTAAGATTTTCAGTTTAGCTTTGATAATTTTTATTTATCTATTTTATTGTTTTTAGAACATGTTAATTCACAACCAGTCCTCTAGAGGTTTCATAATTATAGAAATCTGGAACCCTATGTCTTTGCAATTTCAGCTGAGTTTACATTTAAAAAGCTGCAGCCTTCAGTGTGCAGCTGCTTTACATCTGTGGAAAAATATGGAAAACGATAGCAAATGGCATTCACCTTGATTAAATGGCTGTTAGCTTGCCGTACCTATTAAACCTCTGATGCCATCTGTGGTTAGTTTGCTTTTTTTGTTTGTTTAATTTTTGGTCTTTTGTTTTTTTATACTGCAGAGCTTGAAGCTGGTGTCGTCAGAGCAGGCCCTGAAGGAGCTGGGTCTAAACGAGCATCAGTTACGCTTCACCTGCCGCGTGCAGCTCCAAGACCCCCACAGCGACTCCGACACGCTGCACAGAATCTACACACACCTCAAGAGGTAAGAGGTCTCCTCACCGGGCCTCCTTCTACTTCATTTGCATTTCAATCTCATCCTGAATGCTTGTCCTGCTTTCTGCCTTTCTTCTGACCTGTCCATTTCCTTTGTTTCTTTTTGGGTTGCAGTTTGCTAAAAGATTACACCATCCAGCACCTGCCTGATGGCACAGTGATGGTGGAATCCATCGTCATCAAAGTCTCCTCCTCAGCCGAAGACGCAAACTCCAAGGTCCTGCTGCTTTCCTGGAGTTATCAGGTACAACAGCATCATTCAGTGTTCATGTCTGCTGCTCAACAGGTGGTACTTTAATACAGGCGAGAAAGAATACAGAACAGATTTAGGTAGAGAAAACAGCGCAGTGGAGACGGATCCAAACGGGGTTCTTTAAAAGGAAGTTTGAGTTATTTTTGTTTTATCGAAATAAAAGAAAAGCCAATGTCCATATAGCTATAAAAGGATTAAATCTCATAAACCCTTTTCCTTTGTTAGATTTCTTTCTTTTTCCAAGAGATAATTCATTGTTATTTCAAAAAACAATAAAGTGAAATGTACTGTTTCACTATTAAGGACGGTGTTTAGAAATGTCAGTGCCCTCCTTGAAAGAAAAATTCTTCTGATGCTTTTATAAAACATTAAAATAAAGATATTATATCTCCATAATCCTGATGCATCTGCAAAATTCAGTTTTTTGTTTATCTTTGAGCCTCTACATTCCAGTTAATGATTTATCGATTACTAAATTAGTTGACGATTATTCCAATAATCAATTAATCACGATTAATCCTATTAATTGTTTCAGCCCTATTACTCACTAATCAAAATTAAGAGCCGTGTAGCTCAGGGCAGTAAAAGGTTGTTTTTTTTCTATTAAAATAGTGTTGTTGCTACAAGTGAGGCTGAGATTTTTCCAAAGCTCTGAACGGTTTAATAACGTTAAACAAAAAACATAGTTTCAAATCCATTAATCTCGCTGAATATCAGAAAATTTATAAAGGTACAGAGTTTAATATTTACCATTTGCAGGTTTAGCATGAGAGAGAGCGAGAGAGAGAGACGTGTAATGTGTAAAAGTGGTTCTGGTGTGAGGGGTTTAACTGTGGAAAGCGGTGAAAGTAGTCGAGTGGGTGGACAGAATGAGAGAGGGGGCTGTGAGTGACAAAAAATAAGTAATGAAACCAGAAGGTGGAGTTTCCGTGGTCTCCCGTGTTCCACTCTCAACGCAATGGACAAGTAAAAACAAAAATAGAGCCTGGTGGTTTTTTTCTACCGTACTGTAGGTAGGTGTTCGACCCTGAAAATTATTCCATTAGTTTAAAGATAAAAGTTCTGTTCACATTTGATCTCTTTTTTGCTTTTGAATAAATCTTTTGAATTAAAAATTGTTTTAATTCAGTAATAAGTTCAGTTGTAAGCTGAAGCTCATCATTATGTTGAAAAACAGTATATTTCTATAAACTTAGATAAGTGAGTACAGTGGCCTAGAGGTGAAAATGCAATGTAAATACATCAAAATAGGCTAGCAAACACAAAAGTTAGAAACACATGCAAAGAAAAAACAATGCAATCACAGCATATAGAGAGCAGGAAGTGGAAAACAAACTCAACACCTGCTGAAAAAACAAGAATGCTGCGAACAAACGAAGACACAAAACACATGAAAAAGGAAAAATACTGCAAGCGGTAAAAACAACTTTAAGTTAAAAGAAAGCTGCAAATTAGCATGAAATGGTAGAGGTGCTCCAGATCACTGGGAGCCCATGATTATCAACCGATATGAGATCAGAACATAAACATTACTTTACTCAAGTGGAGGAGTTGAAGTATCTCGGGGTCTTGTTCATGAGTGTGGGAAGGATGGCGCACGAGATTGATATACGGATCGGTGGAGCGTCTGCGGGTATGCGGTCACTGTATAGGACTGTGGTGGTGAAGACGGAGCTGAGTCAGGGGGACAAAGCTCTCGATTCACCGATCTATCTACGTTCCCACTCACCTATGGTATTTAGGTCTGGGTAATGACCTAAAGGACAAAATCACAAACACAAATGAGTTTCCTTCGCAGGGTGGCTGGGCGCACCCTTCGAGATCAGGTCAGGAGCTCAGTTACCCGGGAGGAGCTTGGAGTAGAGTCGTTGCTCCTCCATGTTGAAAGGAGCCAGCTGAGGTGGCCTAGGGCATCTGTTCCGGATGCCTCCTGGTCGCCTCCCTCAGGAAGTGTTCCAGGCATGTCCTATTGGGAGGAGGCCTCGTGGAAGGCACGCTGGAGGGACTATGTCTCTGAGCTGGCCTGGTGTTGCTTTGGGGTCCCCCGAGAGCAGCTGGAGGAGGTGTGCGTGGATCGGAAAGTCTGGCCATCTTTGCTTAGACTGCTGAAGATGGATGGATGGATGGATGGATGGATGGATGGATGGATGGATCGATCAATCGATCGATCGATATCTATACAATATAAATGGGATAAAGCCTAGAGCAGGCATCCCCAAAGTCGGTCCTCAAGGACCACTGTCCTGCAGGTTTTAGAGGTTTCCCTGCTTTATCACAGCTGATTATAATGATTGCAGTAGACCAAAAGCCTGTTAATCAGCTTTCAATTAAAATCAGCTGTGCTGGAGCAAGGAAACCTCTAAAACCTGCAGGACAGGGGGCCTTGAGGACCGAGGTTGGGGATGCCTGGTTTAGAGAACATCTGGAGGGATGAAATTGTGCTTTCTGCTGAGTTATGTAAAAACTTAGCATCCTTACTACCTTCACTAGGGTTCTGGTCTCATGAGTTGAGGATCGGCTCCCCATTGTGGTTTGGAGCACTAAAATTATGCGGAGCTAGTCCTTAATGTGTAGCTGTTGCTACCAGCACTATTTACCTCTGCATGTGTTTTGTATCTTTTTGTTTTAGCATATTTTGTTTGTTTGTTGTTAAGCATTCCCACATAGTCATAGTCATTCCGTAAAAGTTAAAAAATATATAAAAACCAAGTCCAGTGGATATTTTTTTTAACTTTTAAGTAATTCCCACTTTCCTGCTCTCTTCTTGCTGGGATGCATTTTATTCCATTTGCTACACTATTTCTTTTCAGGTGTTTTTGTGTTTGTATGTTAGTCTCATTCGAGTTTGAAAGACCTTTTAATTTGCTGTGGAATAATGTATTTATTCTCCATTTGCAACCCTCAGCCCCATTAATTGAGGCTTATAGCCAATTAGAAACAGATTTTAATTGGTACAGAAACCAAATAACTACTGAACTCTCTTTTTTTTATATATATATATATATATCTTTTTTATTTAGTTATAAACATATGAATTGCACTCTTTACAAATATCAAGTTTTCTAGTCCCCCCTTTTTTTTATTATGTGGAGGGAGGGCAAATTGACATTTTTCTCCCATCTTTTTTTTTTTTCTCCCACTAGTTCTTTTCATTCTTCTGTCACATTTGCAATTTGATAACAGAACTTAACAAACAAGTGCAAACAAAACTATACCAAACAATAAAAAAAATATGTTTACATAGAAGAAATATAAATGAAGAAAAACATGAACAGCAACAAAGCCTGTGGGGGGTAGATTAATAAAAAATATTAAAGAGATCAAAATTAGCAATAAGCTCTTTTTGTTGTATATAATAACCATTTTTCCCAGTCCTTTACAAAAGCCTATTCTTTCATTTTCAATTTATACGTAAATCGTTCCATTGTTTGGATGTCTTCTACAATAACTACTGAACTCTCCTAAATGCATAACCTCCTTGGTGGAGGTAAAAGAAAATTGAGACAAACTTCTGTAATCTTACTTTTAATGGATCATAATGTCTAGAACATTAAAACAACTCTTAAGTTTTTGATTTGATCTTTAACATTGTTGTTTTCTCTCTTTATTTCTAATCAGGATGAAGATCTAGGAAGCTATCTCTCTTCTCTGCTCAAAAAGGGTCTACCAACTTGACTCCACTAGTCTGGATTTTGTAAAGTGCTCTAACCTAAAACGATGGGACTCTTCATCAGGGGTTTCTGTCTCTCGCTCCCCAGCACAAAAAATGTCAGTTGTTTTCCTGCCAACATAAACTTTGAGGCTAGAGCTGCTTCCTTCTCTTAGCAGAGAAACTGCGATAAGAAGGCTGATCAAAGGACTGAAGCTTGCGGTGAAATTCAGATTTTTTTTTTTTTTTCCATTTTCTAAGATACAAACAGTTTTACAGAAAATGCTTCATTTATTAGTATTGTAATATTAAGGTATGTACAGGTTTTATTTACATCTACATTGGATATGAAATATGTAAACAACTTTAAAACCTGTTTTTTTATGTGACAGGAAGAAAAAGTCCTGGTTGATTTATTTCGAAACTTCATCCACCTTCATGGTGATATATTGTATTTCCTGTACAGTAAATCTCAACACAAACCAACTAGTAAAATTAAAAACTTAAAAAGCAGAGGTGCTTTCCATACAAGGTGCTTTGCACGTTGTATTTTTATTTCAACCGACCTTTGATTGTAGTTAATCTGCCATCGAAAGCAGGACTTTGCTCCTTTAAGGTCAACATAAGACAGGAATAAATAAAAGAAGTTTCAAAGCTGCTTGTAATGGAGCCGATTTTAAAATTGACCAAAAGATGAAATAGAAATTATCCAGGCAAGCTGAAAGGACTACAGCATCAATGAAGGAGCTAAGTTATCTCATGTATGTCTGGGTAAGATAGACGTATTTTCTCCTAGAAACCAAGATGCCACATTAAAGTCTAAAAAAACATTTGGGAAAATTAACTCTGCAGAGCTGGTCCAGCACTAGAAAAACGATCTAGAAATAAGTCAAAATATCTTAAATTAAGTGTATTTACCCTCAGCTTGAGTAGATAAATGAGATAGTTTGCCAACAGTGAGTATTTTTACTCGTAAAATAAGATAATTAGATAATATGCACTTGAAATAAGGCAATGCAATTGTGCTTTCTTATTTTAAGTGCAAATTGTCTTGTTCTATTGGCAAAATGTCTATTTTACCTCCTCAATCCAAGAAAAAACTGCACTTATTTTAAGAAAAAATGACTTATCGAGATTTCGATTTTTTTTCCAGTGAGATAGTTTTGAACCTCCTCAGAACCATGCACCGATTGACTCCCCCTTTTTTCCTACAGTTGGAAGTTACTGAGTTTCTTTTGTCAGAATGTCTTATAAACCAGTGAAACCAAACTTTTTCGTGGCGGCATCCAAAAAGTAATTTGCTGTACTAATATTCATAAAGTGAAAACCCCACCTTACCCATGGCGGAACACATTGATAGTGCAATTATGCCAACTACATGTGGCTTTCACTTCTTAAATTATACAAGGGATTCTATCAAGGGGGATGAAATAACCAAGATTGTACGTAAAATGGTCAAAATATGGAGAGTTTTTACCAAAAAGTTGGGAATAGCAGAACAAGACTCTATAGCTGAATCTAACGGGATGATTGTCTACTAAAGATGTCCCCTTAATCTCAGTAGCTTTCACCTATGTCAATGGCATGCATAGGGGCAGGACGGGGGGGCAGTCGATCCTTCTTATTTTTAAATGCTATCTAAAACGCATGCTAAAGTCCCTCCTTGGGAGCCAAATCACGTGCTAAAGTTCCCTCTACGGTTGTGAGGACTTAGCTTCCTGATCTCGCGAGCTTTCAAGGTTTCACTCGCAGATCAGTCTGGAGACTCTCCGTCGAAGAAAATTTGGAGCCATTCACCAAACGAACGTCCAATCAGCGTTGGCTTTGAGGCGGGTTGAGGTGTGACGCAACGAGAAGCGTGACAGCTCAGTCTAAAGAACATGGCGGCTTCAGCCGATGAAACTAGCATTAGCGTGGCTATCGAGCAAGTTTTATCGGAATTACAGAGTATTTCTTCACTGAAAGAAGAGCAAAACACTGCTCTGGAGGCTTTTCTCAGAGGAAAAGATGTTTTTGCTCTTCTCCCGACTGGTTTCGGCAAGAGTTTCATCTATCAATTGGCTCCTCTTCGTCGTCGCTTTGTTAGTACGTCATATGCTTCGTTGATCTGATTGGTTTATTTGGCCCGTCTATCACCAACATAGGCCAATCAGCTAACCAGTATTTTCGCCCCTTCCCAAAATTACTTCAACGGAAGGTTTCCAGATGGATATGCGGAGCAAATCCATCTGGCGGAGTCAGGTTGGTGAGGACTTGCTTTATGTGCACAACCCTTCCTTCAAAAATGTCTGTGCACTCCACTGACTATGATACAGCAGGTCAATATTGCTTGTTTTTTATTTTAAGGGTCTATGAATGAAAGAAATGTATATCAGAAAAATGTTTATAAAACATAGAATACATTAACTGTAACCCTTGCATAACATATCTCCCAGCCCTTTCCGCCCTCGGCCTTAGTATGTTACATTCATTTTACAAAGACAGTAGAGATAACCAATATATAAACATGCATATGCAATTATATACAGATTTTTATACAAATCAATTTTCACATCTGTCCCTGCCACTTCTCTATAACTATTCAACGGTATGTTTTTATACCATTTTAAGGGTTACGTCTGTGTGTTTTGGTTGAAGGTGCCTTTGTCCATTTAAGTCACAGAGATGGTGTAGACCCCCCTTCTCCTGCTCACTATCCCCCATAGCCATGTCCTTTTCAAGGTTTCCCACCTGAAGTGGCTTGTAGTCATGTAGTAGAGCACAGGGTCCAGACATGTGTTGAGGGTAACGAGCGCCATGGTAACTCGCCTGGCGTTGTAGATGAAAGCTCTGATGGAGCAGCTCTGGATGACCTCTAAGCGCTGAAGGAGGTGCAGCAGGTAGACCACATGGTTGGGCAGGAAACAGAGCAGCGTGATGGCCAAGATGGTGTAGATGACCCGCACAGCTTTCTTTGCTGTGTTGGTGCCGATGGTTGAAATCCGGTTGGCTACCAGCGGGTAGCAAACCAGGATGATCAATGAAGGTACCAGGGAGCCAAAGATCAGGCTGACTATACTGTACGTCCTAAGGCGCTCGTTCCACTCTTTCTTGGCAAAGTTTTCGAAGCAGCTGTGGCCAGTAGAGGCATCCCCGCTTTCCAGCGGACCCATGAGGATGAAGATTAGTATAGCCACTCCGCCGAGACACCAAAGCACCACAGTCACCACAAGAGACCATTTAGGGCTCCGCATCCTCAGATAGGTGTGTGGGTGCACTGTGGCCATGTAGCGGTCCACGCAGATGCAAGTCATGAAGCAGATGCTCATGTAGATGTTGGCAAAATACAGCGTCCCCGTGACGAGACAGGTAAGTTCTCCGAACACCCAGTTGTTCCTGTGGAGGTGGTAGTGGATCCGGAAGGGCAGCGTGCAGAGGATGAGGATGTCCGCCATGGCCAGGTTGCTGATGTAGACACCGAAGGCCGTGCGAGGACTGGTCTTTACGGAGAAGACAAACAACGCCGCCAGATTTCCTGGCAGGCCTATGACTAAGGCCAGGATGTAGACCGCTGGGAAGAGGTGGTACTGGAACTCTGCTTCTGGGTCGGTGCAGTTTGTCTGGTTCATTATGACAGATCTGGCGGACTTTTTGGTTTAATTTCAGATCAGGGTTTTTTATGTAGAAAATAGACGTAGGTTGATTTCCAGAAATCAGCGTCTCCTGTAAGTGAGGCGAGGCAGACATTTTCCATTCAGTTTTTCCACTTTAGCTTTTCCATAATAAATTAATTGGTCAAAGATACAATCAAAAGCCTGCCAGTTGTTCTATATTATTATAAAAAGCAATAGGCACAACTTAGTTTAGATAAAAAGGATGTGATTGTATTTTTCAGTACTGTTTGAGGACTTACAGTAGCGGTAAAGAATAAAGTGAAACGAGGCTGGAAAGCACCAGCGGCAGGTATATAAAAGAAAGGTACACTTAAATAACACTAATTTTATGACGTTAGACATGCATTAAGCATTTTTACGGTGTTCAAGAAATTGTAATCCATATTATTTTATCAGATCTTTCTTTTTTTTTAAAGCACATTCATGTGATTTATTTCTAATCTGTTCATTCTACATTTAAAATATCTCAGAAATGAAATAAAGTTACTTACTTAAATTATTTTCAGCCTCCAGGTCCACAAAGCTCCACCGTAGATCTCTAAAAGTGCAAAGACTTGCTGTGACTCTAACTGCCATGTGAACAGAAGCTGCTGCTTCTTTCTTTTTTTTTTTTTTTGGTGCAGCTTCCTGTTTCATTGTGAAGGTGTAGCGTGATGCAAAGGAAATTATAGTGTTTGAAGAGCCAACCACAGAACCAAACGATTGTGTTTTGCTCCTCATTTTAATTACATTCTTAAAATGAGCTAAGACGGTCTTGGTAAAAATTTTATGATATTTTAAGATAGTATTGAGATAAATCAAAACTGGAAAATAATGACCAGCTATAATATTGTTGCTCTAATGTTTCATACCCAATACTTTATTGGGTGGAAGTGAGAATATTGATTAGCTCTTAATGTTTAGCCATTAATTTAAAGTGACATCAAAGATGTAAAATGTATTTAGTAGTTCATGTACAAAACAGAAAAAACACCACCTTTGCTTTTAAGGGGAAGTCGAATTGATAACCATTGTTTTTTCACTTTTCCTTTTCACTCATAATCAAAAAAATATATATTCTTTATTGATAGGAAAGTAATATGAATTAATAAGTATGAAAGTTTTTTTTTTTCTATTAGAACAAGCACCTTTACAATGGTCTATGTCAACTTTGTTATAACCTTAAGTCAAAAATAAACATAAGTTGCATTTGAAAAAGCAACTGTGGTTAACTTATTAATAGTGCCCTTTTTGTGTTGTTTTTTTTTTAAGTGATGTTACTACTACAAATATCAATGTATGTTCTTGAGGTTTTATGTAACAAACCTAAGTAGAATTATAGGCTATATATTCTTTCAACAAAAAATCTACAAATTGCAGCATGCTTTATTCAGTATTCAACCGAGAGAGCAAATGGAGTCCACCCAGCCACTTTGTTAATCTTAATAAAAACCCACATAACCTTCATTTCAGCCATGCAATACTTATGTTTGTATTTCAAATTAAGCTTAGGCAACCATTTGTTTCTTTCTATTTAATCTATCTTTTCTTTCACTAAGTATAGATAACATTTTTTTTTATTTAAAATATGCTTTAAGATACGGAAGAGGATTAGGGCCACTGAAAAAACAAAAAAGTTAACTGATTTTTTAATTTTATTTCAGTATAATATGAGAAAAAAGTCAGAATTCTGACTTTAATCTCAGACTTCTGACTTTTTTCTCAGAATTCTGACTTTAATCTCCGAATTTTGGATCTTAATGTAGATGGGTACAATGATGGAAGACATGTGGAAGGTACTAGTTTCACTGACATAGATTTGAGTTGTTTGGGAGGGTCAGTAACACATTGGTGAAAAATTACGAAATTAGGCAACTTTTTACGTGCCTGAGGGGTCCCCAGTGATGCTATTTCATTAATGGAAAGAGCAGAAGGTCATTAAAACAAGAAAGCTAGTTTAATCAACTAAAACAGACATGGCTATACAGCTTGATGCTAACATGTTTGTTAGCTGTCAAAATTCAGTCAAAATTCTGAGGAAAACGTCAAAATTCTGAGATTAAAGTCAGAATTCTGACTTTTTTTTCCCATATTAAACTGAAATAATACTTTAAAATCAGTTAACTTTTTTTTTTTTTTTTTTCAGTGGCCCTAATCCTCTTCCGTATTAAGATGCTTTTGTTTTTGTTTTGGTTCAGTTTCCTTCCATCGTATTTTATTTTGTTGGACTTTATTTTCCATCTGCTCTTATTCTGAAATCAACAGTAAAACCGGAAGTTGTGATCTGTGTAGCGGCAGGAGCTAGTTATTTAAATTGTCTCGTTTTTGTCTTGCTATTCCAGATATTCCGTCGACTTTATAAAATTCAACAAGTTTAAAAAACTTCTATTATAACTGCAAGAATATTTGGCAAAGAACGTACGCTATTCTTTTTTCTTTTTAATCGTTTTTACTTACTAATGCTAGTTTACCAGCATTTAGCATCAACGCAGCTTTGTTGACCGAAACTCAGCACGCGCTCGTATTTTAACTTAAATATCGAGCATTTCTCGGCATTTGTAATAGTTTTGCTTCTAAATTTAACCCTCTTCCAACTCTCTTCTGGTGGCCTCGTGCGTTTGGCCAGTTATTTTGTTTAAAGTAGCAACATTATGGAAGAACCGGTCGCTTTAAGCGCAGCTGGTGGAGAAGCTGTTGACGCCAATTCCGAGTCGGAAAAATGCTACATCTGCCTGAGCCCCTTCGAGAAGCAAACGGTGGGATCGTTGGATAAATGTCCGCACTTCTTCTGCTTTGAATGTATCCACCAGTGGTCTCAGGTATTCGCCGTCATTTTTTCGCAGGCTGTCCTTGTTTTTATGTGGAGCTTGTGTTAGAAATGGTGGGCAGTACAGAGAACAGATGTTTAACAGCTGTTTCTACCGAATGCAAAGGTTTTAATGCAGAGTGCATCCCAGCTGTTAAAATGCTCTCTGCTGCTCCCCTCCATTGATTTTCATTTAGTGGTTTGTTGTTGTAACTACAACCTTGAAGCCAGGATGCAGAGGCGTAGCCAGAATTTTTTATAAGGGTGGCCAGGCAATAACCACTGCACACTGAGGGGTGGCCGAAAGAGGATAGGCACCAGAACCTCAGGGTTAATCTACACTTTTCCAACAGGAGAATTAACCAGCAAAACATCCATATTTTCTAAATCAAGACTAAACATACTTTTCTACAGCCCTGCTAACAAATAGACGCATTTATTTAAACATCCGTAATCCGTAATTTAACTGGATAAAACTCAGTTTTCAGTTGTGGGGCGTAAATCAATCATCATTGTCATTACTTACCTACTTGTATCATTAAACTTTCTGCATTAAAATGGACTTTTACAAGCACTAATATCTACATACATTGATTATTTGATAAATTTTTATTAAAATTGTTATTTATTTTTTATTTCACTGAAGCGTCCTAGATGACTTGCAGAGACAAATAATTTTCTCTTTACCCCATTTAACACATAATCTAGTTCTAAAAAGAGCATCAATTCTGTACTTATTATCTTTGATGTTAGTATATTGATGCGTATAATTAACCACAAAAATTAAATGTTTTAAATAATCCACTTGCCACCATCTGTATGAGAGGGAACAAAATAGCTCTGCCCCTACATAAATATCACTGTATTGTGTAAGTGGAGTGACAGAGAATGTTATTAAATTTATTTTTGTTGTTTTGTTTTCCATTTCAGACAGCCAACACCTGCCCTGTTGATCGAATCAGTTTTTCATACATTCTCCAGAGAAAGTGTCCTGAAGGGGACATACAGAAAAAGGTGGGCTGGTTCAGTATTTCTTTCATAGATTTAAAATAAATTAAAACAAAGTCCATGTAAAAATGTCTTAAAAACTTAAAAGCAGATTAGACTTCTGCAACCGCAGACATCAAATGTTGCTTGGGTCTGGTTGCGAACCAGTTTTGCTGGTATGCTTCTGCACCGTCAGAGCAGTTTCTCGCCCGTTGGATGGTCACGAGAACTTCGGCTGTGGTGGCGGGAGTGTTTATCTTCCAAAACAACAATGGCGTGTCTGCAAGATGTCACGGAGATGGATCTAGAGTTGCTAGACATCGAAGAGGAAAATGTTCTGTTAATGCTTCCGCTTGAGGTCTGCGCGGGTTTGCTACCGTTCGACATTTAAAGGAATAGTACACCCAAAACATGATTAGCCTTCATTTTCTACTCACCCCCATGCTGAACAACACTCTGGAGTACTTTTTTGATATCTCAAATGCATCTGGAGATCTGGGAGGCTTCTTGCTGTCTGCTGACATTCAAATAATGGAGGTCTATGGTGCCCGAGGCAGAAAAGTCCATAAAAGTCCACAAAAACGTTTAAATATTCCTCCATACTGCTCGTCCAATGTATTCCAAGTTTCCTGAGTGGGTAGCATCCAGAATTTGCTCGAAACGAAGTCATTTAGAATGTTTTTAGAGCATAAACAGTAGTGTATAGGATTTCCTGAAAGCGCGCACATGCGCGATCCCGACGCTACGGAAGCCGGCAGACCAAACCAGATGAAAGTGCACATTCAGCTCGGCAAAGAACTCATGCTCTTCCTCAACACTGAGGTCCTCAGACATTTTTCTTTCGTTGTTTCTTTCTTTGCACAGGTAAACAGCACATTTCTTCTTCTACGCTTGCATTATTGGAAGAGCAGACGCTGAATGCGCACTTTCATCTTGTTTGGTCTGCCAGCTTCCGTAGCGTCGTGATCGCGCATGTGCGCGCTTTCAGGAAATCCTATACACTACTGTTTATGCTCTAAAAACATTCTAAATGACTTCGTTTCGAGTAAATTCTGGATGCTACCCACTCAGGACACTTGGAATACATTGGATGAGCAGTATGGAGGAATATTGACACGTTTTTTGTGGACTTTTATGGACCTTTCTGCCTCGGGCGCCATAGACCTCCATTATTTGAATGTCAGCAGACAGCAAGAAGCCTCCCAGATCTCCAGATGCATTTGAGATATCAAAAAAGTACTCCAGAGTGTTGTTCAGCATGGGGGTGAGTAGAAAATGAAGGCTAATCATGTTTTGGGTGTACTATTCCTTTAAGGGCAATTTATGCATCCGACGCATAGCCTCTGCAACCCTAAAATTAGCGGTGCTAATACAGTGATTTCATGATAGACTGAAGCATAGGAACAATTTAATTACTGCGATAATTGGCATGTTTAAAGGCCAATTTATGCTTCTGACGCATAGCCTCTGCAACCATCAAATCTGTCTCTGTGCGCGACCATGCCCCTCGCGCAGAGGTTCTGCAACCGTCGTCGCACACCTAAAAAAATCCTGACTACTCGTTGTTTGGTCGCGAGTTCTCGAATAGGCTCCCCATTGCACTTTGGCGGAAATTGCTGTGCGTCCCTAGAAATTCCAGACCGACGGAATTTGATGTGTGCGGTTCCAGAAGTAACGACTTGAAGGCACAAACTCAACCGTTCATAATGTATTCTTTATGGTATGCCAGCATTCATAAGATGTAGGCGAATCACTGTCCCCCAGATATCCGCGGTTATATTTTTTATATTTATTTATTTTTTTAAACAAAGTAGAGTGTGTATGACATCATCCACGTGCGTCGGCTACCATTCATTCATCCTGTCTGCTGAACTGCTGCCAGTTTTACTCACATGCCTGGAAGATGTCTAATGCTACTACCACAGATGATCTCGCTCTCGAAAGGGAATTGAACGATTCAGATTAGCTAGCCGAATAAATAGAAGGGGTAGAGCGTAGCCGCCTGTGGCCCAGGCTGCCTGTCACAACTCCAGTCCGGCGCGTGGATGATGTCATTCCTATGATGTCGTTGCCCATAGGAAGACGTTACTTGGATATAACCTAATGGAATATTTTCAGAACAGCTTCAAATGACACAAAACTTTTATGGGCGACTAGAACAGGATGTAATAATGTAAAATCAAGGGTGCAATGTAAAAAAAACTGGCGTTCCCCTTTAAGTCAGGTTTTTTTTTAGGTGTGCAACGACGGTTGAATAACCTCTGTGCGGGGGGCGTGGTTGCGCACAGAGGCAGAAGTAGGGGTGTGCAAAATAATCGTCATGATGATGCATCGTGATTCTAATTTTCGTGATCTACTGCATCGATTCTTGACGCCAAGTATCGATTATTAATTTAAAAAAATTAATAAACAAAATTGCATGAATGGTTGGCGAACATCAGCCAAAAACAAGTGGAATACAACTTCCAGTCCAGTAGATGTCACTGCGGATGTGTTGACGCCCGCTGCCTTGTGTCACAAGCATTTTTCCGGCCGCGGGATACTGCGCCGAGTCATTCAAAAACAAAACATGGAGGAGAAAATATTGCAATGCATCGCAATAATTCAAGTATCGTGATGCATCGTGATAGCATCGCATCGTGGCATATGAATCGTGATTCAAATCGAATCGTGACTTCTTTGGCAATACCCACCCCTAGGCAGAAGCATAAATTGGCCTTTAAACATGCCAATTATCGCAGTAATTAAATTGTTCCTATGCTGCAGTCTATCGTGAAATCTATCTGTATTAGCGCCGCCTATAGATTAAATAAATGCTTCACAGACGTGTGTAGAAGTTGAGTAAAGATTCCTGCCTTTGTTGAAATGCAGATTTATTTATTTTTTTATGTAGCCTAGAAATGTGTTGGACATTTATTTCTTTCAATCATGACACTTTTGATTGGCCGTTTCCTTGCAGCTTAAAGTGACGACGCGCAGAAAGGACGATGAGACTGAGGAGGATTGGAGAAGCGTAGTTATCTGTGAGGAATGTGGGCGAAGCGGCCGCAGGGACCGACTGTTGGTGTGCAGACACTGTGACTCAGGGTAAGGCTTTCCTTCAACTACACACTCGTTTTAGCCTCGTCTTTGAGATCGCATTGATGTGCTACCATCGTTCCTACAGGTATCACATGGACTGCCTGACTCCACCTCTAAATTCTGTCCCTGAGGGAGACTGGGCCTGCCCTGACTGTGCCACCACCTTGCAGAATTCAGGTATTTATTTAATCAGTAAGATGTGTTGAATCTAACAACACAAAGTTTACTCACGTCCTCCAGTAGTTGCTGATACTACCAGGAAAATAGGATTAAAACTAAAGCAGAGATGTTTGATGCTACCTTCAGTAGCATTTTTTTGGCCTTTTCCTTTAGAAATCATGAGAGGTGTCATCAAAGCAGCATTTATCCAAACATGCAGACCTGAAAAATATTTCTCTATTCAGAGAGCTTTCTGGCAGAAGAGGCAGACATCAGCGATGGAGAAATCACGGACCTTCTCTCTGATATGGACCAAACTCCTTCTACAAGCAGCCGCCTGCGAGCTTCAACCGTGAACCGTCCCAGCCGCGTCACAGAAAGACGACGGAGCGCAAGGATCCAGAGCAGAGGGGGAAGCAGCAGTCCGTATCCACGGCCCCAAACCTCCTGGGTGAGTGGGTGGGAGAGGTTAAGGTCTGCTGACTGTGGACGCCGTTTCAGTTGTCATGTTCAAGAAACCAGTCTGAGATGATTCTTGCTTTATGACATGATGCTCAGTTGATACTAATGCTGCGTTCACACCAAACGCAGCAGGAGCAGCTAGTTTACATGCAAAGTCAATGGTTGACGCGCATCAAGGCACGTCAAGGTCCCGCGGCGCGTTTTGAGCAGCAGGCGCAGCACGTCTGAGCAGCTGAAGCAGCCGCAAACGCGCTGCTGCTCGAGATGGAAAAATTTAACTTTTGCTGCTCGACGCGCCGCATCAACCAATCAGAGAAGCTGATCTGGGAGCTGGCAGAGAGACAGACACATCGCTGATGACACAGAGCGCTGTGATCACTCCTCTGAAATAGTTTATTAACGCCTAAATTAACTAAAAATGCTGAAACCTGCCGGCAAAACATGCTTGCTTTTATTATCCTGGTGCCTGCAGTTTGGATTACGGACATGAAAAATGCCTTCCAGCCACTGCTGCAAACCGCGAGGAGGCAACTGGGCCATAGGCTGCTGTTGAATGGGATTACTGACAGAGTGCCACCAGTAAGTGGGGGTCTGAGCGGCTCTGACAGAAATAATATTGGAAGGCAGGATAGTTATCTGGATGAACTGAAGGCAATGATTACGTTTTCAGGTGGACTTTCTCACTTAAAAACATATTAAAACTACTTTATTCCCACTGATCACAGCAAATATAGCTGCAAGGCAAAGAAAGGATAGAGTAGCTCCGCCCAACGCGCGTCAGACACACTTTTGCACCGCGCAGCCAGAGCAGCAAAGCTCTGTGCAAAGCACCGCGCGTCAGAACTAACTGGTACAAGCAGCAAAAATGAAGCCGCAGATGCGTTTTTGCTGCTCCTGCTGCGTTGGGTGTGAACGCAGCTTAAGTGGTTCAAATGACACTTAGAAAATGACATCATCATTATCACCACCAGCCTGAACTGTTGACACAAGGCAGGAAGGATCCAAGCTTTTCGTGTTGACGCCCATTTTTTAACCCAACCATCTGAATGTTGCAGCAGAATTGAAGACTCGTCAAAACAGGCAACGTTTTTCAAATCTTCTGTTGTTTAATTCTGTTGAGCCTGCACGAATATGGCCTCAGGTTCCTGTTCTTAGCTGACAGTAGTGGCGCCTGGTGTGGCCCTCTGCGACTGTAGCCTATCTGCCTTAAAGATTGACGTGTTGAGGAGACGGGTTGCTTTTTACAACTGCAGTTGCTTTTTGTATCTCTGTTTCTGTCTCCTTGAACCCCAGTCGGCCTCAGCAGATGGCCGCTCACACAGAGCCTGGTTCTGCTGGAGGTTTCTTCCTGTTAAAATTGAGTTTTTTTCATCTCCACTGTTGCTACAAGCATGCTTAGTGTGAGGGATTGCATTAGAGTCAATGAGTCGATGCAATCAACTGGTTTTCCTTAGATGGAAAACTTTTAATCAATCTGACTGGATGATCTGGTTGAACTGTAAAGTGCCTTGAGATGACGTGTGTTGTGAATTGGCGCTATAGAAATAAACTGAATTAAATTGAATTGTTGTGCATTCATAGATGCTCTTCTGCACACCTTGGTGGTAACGAGTGGTTATTTGAGTCAACGTTGACTTTTCCATCAGTTTGAACCAGTCTGGCTATTTTCTGACCTTTGGCATCAATTTTGTTTTGCTCAAAGAACTGCGGCTCGTTGGATATTTTCTGTTTTTTGGGGCGTTCTCTGTAAACCCCGGAGATGGTTGTGTATGAAAATGCCACCAGATCAGGAGGTTCTGAAATTACTCCGACAAGCCCGTCTGGCACCAACATCCAGTCACTTAAATCATCTTTCTTCCTCCATTCTGCTCAGTTTGAACTACAGCAGAATGTCTCAACTACGTCTGCAAGCCTAAATGCAATGAGTTCAATAAGTTGTGATTGATTGGCTGACTCATTTGCATTAACGAGCAGTTGGACAGTTTCTCTATGTATGTGTGTATGTATAAAGTAATGTGAACATACAAACTCTACAGTTTTGTTTGTGTTAGCTCTAGATTTGTTAATGCATTCGCTAAAGCAGTTGCAAACTAAAGGAAGTGAGGTTCTGCGCTTATACACTTGATGCAAAGCTTTGGTTCTAAGAGCAGCAGCATGGTGTTTACCCACACTTCCTGCCACACTGTCAGTGTCCTACTGTTACCCATCTTTGTGGTAAATGAGCAAAGGTCTTCTTGTTTTCATTCCTTAACTTACCGGAGACTTCTTTTATAATTACAGTATCTTCCAAACATTTTTACACCTCTTGTTTATTCACATTACAAACACAAACTTAAAATGTTCTTTGGGGATGTTGTCTCATCCAATCTTGTTTATCTTCTGGGAGTTTTGACAAAAAAAAAAAAAAAATCTGTGAATGTTGGCATTTATTTTTATACCCTTCCCCTTTTACTCCGACGCCCCTCAATAAAAATTCAACACAAGCAACTGTAATGTGAAAATTTGAAGCGTTTGAGCGGTAGGTATTGAAATACATACATATATATATATATATATATATATATATATATATATATATATATATATATTAGTGCTGTCAATCGATTAAATTTTTTTAATCGCGATTAATCGCATCAATGCCTAAGTTAACTCGCGATTAATCGCATTTTAATCACACATTTTTTTCCTGATTGAAAATCATTTAAATACTCTCGATGACATACAAAAAAATACATACAGGCTAGGTTTGTGCCAATGTTCTTTTTTTAAAATGAGAACAGGTCACAGACACTGATTTATGCCATAGAAACATATGGCAAGAAGATGGGGAGGCATGTAGCAAAAAATAACAAATATGTAGCCAAAAAAAAGGCCCTGAAAACAGGCTGATGTAAAAGACAGTCTTTACAGTTAATACAGTCTTTTGAACAAAGACAAGCATTTTACCCTACTGCTATAAAATGCAGTACAGTTAACATTAGATGTTAATTAACCAAGATAATAATGAACAATTTTCAATCAATACATCTAAATCAATAGACCGACATCACTAGATGGAGGTAGTCTATGCTCTAGAAAGTTACTTTTCAGACTCTTAACAAAAATGAGAACACACACACAAGCACCCACCCACACACACACACACACGATACTGACCTGTGGCGTACACAGACAGCAAGAGTGCCGTAGCAGATTCCATTTCACCTCAGTAATCTGTTTTCTCAGCGTATTTCAGGTTGCTACTAGTTACCAGACACTCAACTTGTTTGTTGGTGGTCGGGCTTAAAGAAAAGGCACTAGCGTCACCCAGTGTATGAGCGTCTTTTTTCCTTGAGGAGCTCCGCTGTCGAAGCCTATGAGAAATGCATACACTGGGGGAAAATAGCCCCGCCTTCTCGCAGGCTGCAGCGGGATGTACTTGGAAAATTGTACCATAAAACCACATAGCGTTAATCTCACGTTAAAAAAATTATCGCCGTTAAAATGGCCTCGCGTTAACGCGTTAATAACGCGATAATTTTGACAGCACTAATATATATATATATATATATATATATATATATATATATATATATATATATATATATATATATATATATATATATATATATATATATATATATATAAAATTTACAAGACTTAACCTGATTGCTCATTCAATTTAAGAGATAAGCAAGATAACAAAATTGTTACATGATTTGAATACAAATATTAATGACTGTTCATTTCTTTAGGAACCTATGGATTAGGGCTTATATGATTAATCAGATTAAGTCATTATTAAAATAATCATTAATTAATTTGGTAATGGGATCATAGAATATTGGTATACACACTATGACATTGACAATTTGCTGAAAGAATAAACAGTTTACAGCAGCAATTAGGACAAAACTATAAAAGAAATGAACATTTTCCATTAAAGATTTAAAATGTTTGGATACGATATATATATATATATATAAATACACATATATGTGTTTTTGTCATTTACAATTAATATAAAATGCACGATAAAAACTCTCTACTTTTATACTTTAATACGGATTTATTCAGACATTTTACTGAGTATTTCTCTTTATAGTAATTGATTGATCCAAAAACAACCACCAGAATAATCAATTACTTAAAGGATCAATAGCTGCTGTCCTATTATGGATACTACTGTGGTAAAATGCTCTTAAATAGGGCTTTTAATAGTATGATAGTGTAGCTAAGTTGTTAAAGCATGCATGCTCCTCCAAAAGATCTAACCTCAGCGACATGGTGAAATTGAATACATCTCATATACAGCAATTATTGTTAGAGTTTATATTTGTTTTAAAACTGGATTTTATTTCTTTTTCAGCATGTTCCCAAATACCTGATCCGTGCATCAAGGCCTAGTGGGAAAACGGAAGGGTCTGTAAATCTCCCTGGTGTCAAAAATCCCTCAGACAGTAAGTGGTCTTTTTTTTTCTAACTCCCTGCTCCAGCAAGATGCTCACTTTTATGAAAAATAAATAAATAACATGTTTTATGTGTTTCTACACAGAAAAGAAAAGAAAAAGAAGGAAGAATGTAGCCTGAAGAACCATGAAGCAGAAGAAGTAAAAAAGAAAAATCTTTGTGTAACCATGGTACTGCCTTGAGTGACCACATGATGGCAGCATTGTGTCAAATCAGTAAAAAGTCAAAAACTGAATAAGTGCTGTTTTGTAGTTTTATTATACTGAAATCTTTATCCTTCTTTATTTTTTATTTTGTTTTTGAGCATCATTTTGTGCCTCTGCTTTTTTAATTAACAGAAACTAATCCCTGCATATCCATTCTGAATGTTCTTCTTTTAAGGCTTTATGCCATGTGACTATTAGGACTAGAAAAGATAAGAGGACTGCCACTGATGACATCACTATCAACAGGTATAAGTTGACTGAATCAGTCAGGGGTGAATTTAAGGGAAGCAAATGAATTGAAGCTGCAGTTTTTGTACTTATGGATATGTGTTTTAGAAACACACAGAGGACCTCAAAGACTTTGTTTTTCATTAGCTTTTTGAAGTTTGATTTACATTTTTTTATATATATAACGGTACTATTAGATCTTATAAATAAAGGTTCTGTTATTCTGTGTATTTGGGTCTAAAGTCAATATGTTTCAGCAGCATTTTTAGTCACACAGCTTCAGTGATATCTTTGCAAGTAAAGACTGTTTTCTGCAACTAAACCACATACTTTGCTTATGCCACTAGAGAAAGATTTGAGAAAGCTTTAAAATCTCAATATTTAGACTGGCATGTCTGAGTTTTCCTCCTGGACACGTTGTCCACACAAACTTACCAGGGATGATGGATGGAATAAATCTGGTTAAAGTGTTTAACAACACATTTTCAATCATGTTGATGGACATTATTCAAACGATAGATCTTATTAAAATATATTTCAAATAAAATACGATTTTATTCTTGATTCTGAACAAGCAAAGGGAGTTCGGGCTTTAAAACAAAACACCTCAAGCTTTTTCCCTCTGAGTCCTGGCTCTCCTTGAGATTGTGTGCCTCATCGTCTGCTGTTCCCAGTGATAGCACCCACAGTGCGTCTACGCACTAAGCCAACCTGATCATTAAAAGCTCAGATATCACTACAGTTGGGATTTTTATTTATGGAAATAATCAGTGTAGATGGAGGAAGTTAAACAGGAAAAATGCAGAAAAGGCAATCCGGTCCTCAGTGTAGATTAAATAAAAGAGAAGATTAATTAACTGAGCCCACTGCCTCTAACATCAGCATCCCAGCTATAGAGAGAGAGAGGAAAGCATTAAAATCCTGAGTACAGAAGGTTAACGAGCTCAACTGGTTGAAGTACATAATGGCAGCCTGAAACTGGCTCAGCAAAGATTATACATTATGATGAAACTGAAATATTCCCAAGCATCCCTGTAGTATCCTATAGGACAGTGGTTCAGACTGTGAACATAACTGCATCCAGATGTGCTACTCCAGCTGCTGTATGGCATAAAACAAATCAGAAGAATGCCTACAACCGGACAAATATAGAATCATCACATTCATATATTTAAAACATGACCAGACAAAACGTAAATCCAAGTGAAACCCACAAAAAGAAAAACTAAAACCAATGGTTTGTTGCATGCATGCAATGATTTGCATCATAAGAATAAAGTACAACAGATTTAAAGGCCATATCCTACATTTTAAGTATTTCAAAGTCCCCAGTAGGCAAATGTGATTAGAATAAGGATTTTATAACTACGCAGATTATTATATATTATATACTATAGTTATTTTCTTCCAACCTCGCAGAAAAACACTTTCCTTCAAAGAGAAGCCCGCTCTCCTTGTCTGGGCGTCGGCCGTTTCATGACATTGGTGTTTAACACCACTTCTGACGGCTAAACAAAGGCTGAAAAATCTTATCTTACTTTCAAAAATCCTGATTTAACAACTTAGGCAAGAGCCAAAAAAAGAAAAATTGCTTCCCTGTGAAGATTAACTGCTAACAGATTTACTTGGTTTTAAATCTGAGTCAGAATTATTGTGCTCTGCCTCATCACCCCTCCCTGATTGGAGAAAGTGGACGTTTGTGTGGGTGCAGCGTGGTTAACATAGCCGCTTCCTGGAGGGAGGATTCTTATCTAGATATTCTCGTTTTCAAAGGTCAGAGAGGGGCTGCTGCTCAACCAGCAGAAGGCGAGAATTACTCAGAGATACAGGAATACAGCAAAATACAACTTTAGGCACAACTCTGATAAGGGAAGGGCATTAAAACAGTTAAAAGCGCAGAAAGTCGGTTTTGCATGATATAGACCCTTTAAGTTTTATGTGGTAAAAAGTAAGCATGTCCAATAATGAGTTGTTCTTAAACCAGCAGCCTCTGGTACTTTAGATTTTTTTTTTCCTCTTTGCAGTATAGAAAAAAAGATTGGAAAAGATGTGCGACGATCTTGAGTGTATAGTTTGACGTTCACACAAATAAAGGGAAAAGAACAACAGACACTAAGTCAATTATGACAAGAGGGCCTAATAAAAAAACTACATTTTAGATCATTTGACTAAGAAATGACAAGAAATTTACAGTTTCCACCTTTATACCATTTACTAAATAAGGTAAAAAAAAAAGAAAAATATTCTTTGTAATATTAAAGATGGCTTCAAAGATTTACTTCAAGACTCCATTTTCCACCTAAGTTCTGCAACAATGGTCTACATGTGGAAATCAGACCAATGATAGTTGCATCATCTGCATACTCAATAGTATCGACAAGTATCAATACAGTTTGTCAATGTGTCGAAACGTAATCCTTAAGTATTTTAGTTACTTAAATGTGTTGAAAAGTGTGTCGAAACGTAATACTTAAGTATTTTAAGTAACTAAAATACTTAAGTATTGCGTTTCGACACATTGGCAAACAATTGATATTTTTCGATACTGTGTCACTGAATACTGACACCTGCTGGACATTTAACAACACTACAGGCAGACTGAGACTAAACTGACACTGATTTAATGGCCTTTATTAAAATCACATTTAAAACCACTGTTTGCTTTAATGTATATTTCATATTTTCATTTAAATTGAAAATATTTGAACGGATAACAGGAAAATTTAAGTGAGCATGTGGGACTAGGATTGATTTAATATAATAAATACAGGAAGAACAGCAAACTAAGAGTCAATGTGAATTTGGATAAGCTGAGTGATAATTGAGAGGAACAGGATGACGCAAGAAGAACATTGATTCAAATATTAGATCAGAATGGTCCCTCTCGGCTAAAATGCTTCTTTTCTCCCTGATTGAACTGCTCTGTCTGACACATTGCTTTTTATCTTCTCTAAGATCCGTTTTTCTTGATTAATTTGATGATAAACCACAAAAGATCATCATTTTTTTGGCAGATGTGTTGCATTGACAGATGCGCTTATAAAGACAGTTTAGTGCATCAGTCAGTTCGAAACAGCTCCTACGCTGGAAAAACTATCTAGAAATAAGTAAAGATTTCTTAAATTAAGTGTATTTACCCTTGATTTGAGTAGATCAATGAGATAGTTTGCCATTGGAATCAGTATTTTTACACTTAAAATAAGATAATTAGATAATATTCACTTGAAATAAGACAATGCAATTGTGTTTTTTTATTTTCAATCTAAATTGTCTTGTTCCATTTGCAAGATGTCTCTTTTATCTCCTCAATTCAAGAACAAATGCACTTATTTTAAGAAAAAATGACTTATCAAGATTTAGATTTTTTGCAGTGTATATCGGTCACGTGACTTTCTTGAAATGATGCGTTCACTGACACAGGGTCTTGCTTCGAGCTGGACACATGCACCGAGGCATCGGTGTTGCTGGACCCATCACTACTGTTAAGAATGATCAACTCTGTCTCTATACTCTCATTTCTAATTAGATAAACTGTTTGGGAGAACATGAGCCTTAACAGATCACAGAGAGGTATTATTAGGGTTTAACAAGCAGATTCATGAACCATAAAAATAATCCTAATCTATAGAAGATAATAGGGGTGTAAATCACACTCATCATGGCAATTCGATTCAGTATCGATTTCTTCAGCCAACGATTCGATTAATATTTTCGATACTCAAGAAAACACCACGATACGTTTCGATTAGTTCTTTTTTTTTACCTTACAGGCTACACAATGTTTCATATTTGAAATAAATCAATGAAAGCTATAATATCGTTATGCCTTTTATTTGAGAAACAACAGCAAATAACAGAAGTAGAAAAGTTGTACTCCACTTAGGCATATTACAACCTCATTTACTGAAAAATAATAATGCCCCTGTGTTATAGATTCTGAAAGGCCTTGCATCAAAAAATACTGCACAAAATCAGTGCAATTAGTGCAATGCAATACCTCGGCTCCAGAGTGACGAGCAGGTATCGGAAGCCTTTGTTCTCCACAACGCAATAGGGACGTATGCCTGTACATATGAAGAACGCCATTGCCTTGGATAGGTTTAGCGCCACTGCAGCACGGGAGTCAGAATTGCGCATAGGACCAAATTTGGCCAATTGGTTGCATCCATCAGAGGCTCACAGTTATGGAACACACTACAGGCTCATGTTAGGGGCTGTGGGACCTTCATACGTTTTAATTTGTCCTTGAAACATTGGTTGAAAACTAACCAGACATGTCTTCACAGGTAAATTGATCTGGGCCTGTTAACCTCATTTTATTGTTTAACCTCATTTTATTGTGATTTTATGTTATTGGCATCTTATCTGTTTGTGTTCACTCTGTTCTCTCCTGTAGCGTCTTGTTTAATGTTCACTGTTTTTACCTGCCTTAGGACAGCGGATGCAAATTAGCTGTTGTGCTAATTCTGGCATATTTACAATGATGTTTAATGCTGACATGTTGATGAATGTGCATTGTCCTAATTCAAATAAAAAAATTTAAAAAATTGATAAAAATAGACCGGAGGGGAAAAAAACCATGAGTTGCTACTCTTGCGGACGCGTCGATGCATCGGATCGTCGGCTGTTGAATGGATGGGTCAATACAAAGTGATTATTATTTACACCAGTAGAAGATAATGGTCTCCATTACTCTCAAAAGCACTGGGATTTTCTGTTTTTCAGTAGTACTGAGGTTCATTAAAAAAAAGCCAGTGAGGCCTCTAGATATCAGATTCCTGGGGTTGTTGAGAGTCATCAGACT